GGCGGGGAGAGGACGCGCCGGCAGCCGCGGGGAAAGAAGCCAGGGGAAGGAGCGGCGCTCCCCTCCCTGCTCTCCCACACGCTCTTTCGCCTTCCCTCTCTCGCATTCTTCGCTTCTCCCTCTCTCCTTGCCTTTCCCTGCTTCCCCTCCCTCCCCCTTTTTTCCATTTGGTGGCTACACAGACCATTCCAGCCCCTGAACTCCCGGCACTAGATTAAAGTGTAATACTGAGCTGTGGAAGGACGCGAGGCAATGGCGAGGCAGCTGAGCTCCTGTATTTCACGTATGTATTTGTCTTACTTTATGGAAGTCATTAACTATTGCTGCGGCACATCAGTCATTCCTGGGAGTTGCCTGGCAGAGCAGGGCATGACTTGTTCACTCTGATTTGGGCTGATAGTTATTTATTTAATGGAGATTCTCCTGGAAATAGATAAATGAGCAAGGACACCAGCTACTGAAGCGTGTGGAGTCCAACTTCTGACCGTGGATGAAAGAGGGATGCTGAGGTTTTTTGGAGACAGGACTGGTAAGAGCTGCCAATGAGCAGGCAAGTGAGAACAGCCGGACAAGGTGGGAAGGGGATAAGTGGTGGGAAGAAGGCAGAAGGAGAGAGAGAAAGATCATTTTAAGCCTGAACTATTTATTTCTGTTCCTAAATACAGCCTCCTGCCCTGGCTAAGGTGCTGGTTGTAGGTGTGTGAAGCTGGAGGAATAGTTCAGTTTCCCTTGCACGAGAATTGACATTTTCTGCAGGGAGATCCCTGCCTGCCTAAGACTCGGGGACACAGAGACAGCTCCCAGACAGACTGGGGAAGTTCACCACATACTTTGCCCCTTCTCTCCTCCCCCCAACCTTGCCAGTGCTGGGCACATCAGCATGCAGTGTAGGCTCTGGTGTGTATTTAATGACTCCATTTGCTGCTGTCTCTGTTAGCTCACACTGCCTTTCTTCACAGTCTCATTTTACGGTCTGCCTCACTGGGACTGAGAGGAAAAGGGACACCCAGCTCAGTGCATCCTCCTTGCTATGTCCGTAGCAGTGGACTCCTTGGGACCTGGATGCCGCTGACAGCTTGGTTAGACAGCAAGAGCAGAGCTCCAAGCAGTAGTGAAGGGGAGGGCGCGAACCAACCAAGCTTAGGCGAGAGAGGCAGGGAGAGACTCCGTCTCAGCGTAATGAGGGAGAAGCTGTTTAGTCATCTCTCTATATATACTTTCTCACTGATGATCATATTTTCTGATTGCTTCTGACTGCATTTAGAGAGGGAGTCTAGAAGCAGGCAGCGCAGCTCACCTTTTATCCTGAGGACTGACTGACTGTTCCCCCTTCCTTCCCATTCCCCAGATTTAGCCTTACTTTGGGCGCTGAGAGTGTCTTTCCTTGCCAGGTAAGGCATAGCTGCAAGCCTACAAGATGGGGCTCTCTGGGCTGTCTGGGACGGAGGGGAGAAGTTTGCATGCATTTATCCTAAGCCTGTTGCTTTTGAGCCCAAATCTCTCCAACTGACTGAGGAAGTGATTGTTTTGCAGAACGTTTTATTATCCGATTTGATCGCAAAGGGAAAGACTGAAAGAGGATATTGCAGCTTTGACTGATACAGTTCACTTTTAAGTGAAAATATCTTTGCTGTCTGAGCCTGACAAAATAAAGCATAGACAATCGGAGAATGACTGATCTCAGGGCTCTTCACTCCCATTGGCAGCATCTCACCAAGAAACTCACAATATGCTTAATCAGTCTTATTTTAAATTATCCCTCTCTGCTTCCAGAAAGGGAAACACCATGAGATTTTTGTTTTGTTTCTATTTGCATGCAAAAATATGAAGAGACGTTTATTAAGTACGATATTGCCTGTGGAAGCTATTGTGGTAAGAATCCATCATTTATTTCTTGACCCTTTAGGTAAATAGAAATAACTGCGTGTTCTCTAAAGTTTTCCTCCGATGCTTTATTGATCTAACGGTGCATATTAGTTTTATGTTTTGAAACTCGACTCAAATTCTTGTGTCAGTAAAGCAAGCTGTAGGAAAGATGACCAGAGATAGCTAGATAGATGGTCAGGCCAGCATTCAAATAGGGCTGGAAATCCTGGGGAGGGGAGGAAGTAAGGAGTCATGCCACAGGATTTTTAATAAAATTTGATTGCACCACTTTGCTGTCCTCATAATTATCTAAAGAAAATAGTTTATTTGTTCCACAGATATTGACATTTGCTTAAGTCAGAGCCAAATTGTTTCATTTTGTGTACTAGTTCTTCTAAGTATCATCAACAGGCTAATGATCTTCTAACTAGATCCTTTTAAATTATATGTGCAAATTAGTTAAAATTAGAAATATGTGCATCAGTAAATATATGCTTGTATGAATTAATATGCATCTCTTTCACATTCTAGCTTAAGAGATAGGCAATTGTACAATATATTTTACCCCGCCTATTGCTTTGCAGCCTAAAAAGAATGGTTAGCAGAGTCACCAGAACTGAGGCTTAGTGTGCAGAAAAGGAGGGTGCTTTTCATACTATTTAGATAAACTAGTTACTTTTTTTTTTTCACCGTAAACTTAGTTTGTGCAGCTCCAAATTACAAATTCAATCCTATCTCTCTCTTAATTTTCTGTCTCTTATTTCGGGGTGGGGTGGAATTCCAAAAATTCATGGACAAGAAGCAGTAAACCCCCTGTGCTGAGGATATTGAGTTGTTCTTCTCCCCTTCAGAAATCCCTCGCAGTCCCAGGCCACAAAAGGAGACACACAATTTACGGCTGCCTGCTTTGAGAAAGTCTCTCTTTTTAAGTATTTTGAGGATCAAATGGGACAGATTTAATGCCACTTTGAAAATCAAGCTGTGTGCACATGCTGGAGGAAGTTTTCTCAACCAGCCGCGTCTCTGCCACAGAGAAATAGCAATTGAACTTCCACGGACAGAACGCACCACTCTCTGTTCTCATCTCTTGTCCATTTCATAGCTAAGATATTTATAGCTTCCTCACATATACTGTCAGCATGGAAGGACCCATTTTATCCTTAAAAATTGATTTAAAAACGTGGAAGTCACTTATGAGTTACCAGTGCTTTATTAAAACAATTATATGTGAAGTATTTATAGTGCCTCAGCAGCTAATGTAGGTAACCTGGAATTTACAGCCAAAGTTATAAGTACAGAAGAGATTTCTAATAAGGTTCCCCAGAGAAATCTGGGGAGATGAGGATCCAGTGTACTGTAGCTGCTCAGGTCACTGTACATCACCAATCAGTCTTGGTAGAATGACTATGGTGGTGTCTCTAATTGAAATTAGAAAGCACAGAAGACAGTTTACCAGCAGGGAGATTAGGAATACGACGCATTTATCTTGGCCTCTTGATTATTTGCGTATCTATATTTGGTAATTAAGAAACGAAATGGCTGTCATTTTTCTGCCTCTTCTTTTATAGTCTTGTTTTCAACTATGGTGTTTCATAAAAGTTAAAAGATCCACCACTGCTGCTAACAGAAATTGGCAGCTCTGCTGTCTGAGCCCACTAAGTCCCCGGAGACAGTCTTTCAGCTAAAGACTGTGGAGCATTTTCAAAATAGCACAGAGAAAGTTTGCAATGCTGTGCTCTGTCTCTTCCAAGGAAAAACAAAAGCATTCTTGTCTCCAGAGCTGTCAGTTTGGCGCTATTAACGCAATAAATTCACTCTTTAGGGGGAGAGAAAAACTAATGCATAGTACCAGTGAACAATCCTTCATAGTAAAATATTGCAGAATATTGGCCCCAGTGCCATGTATACAAGAAAAGTGTCTCTTTGGGCTAAGCATCACTATGGAATATTATATGTTTCATAATTACAAAACCTCTTCCAGCAGCAGTAAGATGCTTGCGCTAGGGATTCCAATTGTTCTTTAGAGAGTAAAATTGCATAGCAAGATACTCCACATTAAGGTGATGAATGTTAATGTGCCCTGAACAGGAAGCGCATTTCTGTGAACAGTTTAGTCATTTTCACTACAGATTGATCCCATCATTTTTTATTCAGTATTTTGATGGCCTGTTGAAATCAATAATGCTGTAGCCTTACTGGCTGGAATGGCAGCTTTCATATAATTAAAAAAGTTCGGAATAAAATTGCATAGAAGGATACCACGTAGAGGAAATAATTAGGCTTTGAGGGCCTGAGCCATGGAATCATTGGAAGTCTTTCTACTGATAAATTAACTTTTGATAGGGCCCTAATGCATCTTATATGATAATGGTTCTCTTCTCCAGATAATTGTACGGTAGAGTTAGAAAAACATTAGGGAAGTGAAAGTAAATACAAGTTAAAACAAAAGTTAAACATTGTAAGACATCTAACCAAAAGCCAACAAGAACAAGAAAATTCCTGGCTAGATCAGAACCACAATAACTACTAGAATTTCAAGATAGCAGTGTTGATTTCCAGTGTCTGAGGATCTGGACAACTTAGGGTATTTTTCATTTTGAAATGAATAGTGCAGTGAACTTATTTCACTTCAGTCTAACAGTGCTTCACCTATTAGGCTGAAGGACTTCTGCCTCTGATAGCTAAGAAACAACAAGGTATCTTCCTGCAGGAAGAAAGTTGTCCAAGTTTGGAGGCTTCCCCATTCTGATGGTCTTGGTCCTCGGTTTGTAGCTTAATCTGCTGTGTGCTTCCCTCACCTAACAATGTATCTACTAGAACATCCATAAGCAGCCACACTTGTGATTCAGGTCACTGCTGTTCAGATATTCTGAGCAATGTTCTCCCAAAAGCCAGAATTTTCCTCCGGTCTATTAAAGTGATGCAATATTTCACAACAGTGAAACTTGTCTTTAAATCCAGGAGACCAGAAAATATCTGCTGCCTAGCCCAGAATCTTCAATTAAAAGAGAAGATTTTAAAATAAAAGCCAGAGAAGATTTTAATGTGTTTCTTCCCACTAACATTGTTCTTGGTGCAAAGTTCATTGCATTTTGCATTGGAAACCCAGCTTAGTCCAGTTATGGCTTTTCATGATGTACAGTTTTCCTTGGTGAACTGCAAGCTGTTTACACTGGAGCTCCCAGCTCTTTCTTGACAGCTGTAGTTAAACTGATGAGCACATGAGGCTTACACCTGGGGAATTATGGATTAGTCTTGTTTGTAAGGAAGCAAATATAAATTAGTGTGTTTATGCTACTTTTAAAATGCTTTTAATGAGGAATCATTTGCTATTCAAAATTTCAATCTGTAATAATGCCATAACCTTGCTGAGCTGATCATGTGCCTTGTTTAACATCACTCTTCAAATGGGAGATGAGCACAAGCCAGTTGTTTAAGTTCTTGAGCATATACTGATCTATAACTCTTTAACACAATGGGGCGAGACACTCCACTTGACTTAGTGTTGCATTTCTGTTTTGTTCTGTATTTTAGATGGAACTGATCTGACTTCCGACAAGTCTCAGAAGCAGCTAAACTGTCTTCTCCAGTAATAAGGCCTGGAGTCATCATGGCAGCAGGAGTAGCAGCATGGTTGCCCTTTGCCAGGGCAGCTGCCATAGGATGGATGCCGGTGGCCAACTGTCCTATGCCACTGGCTCCAACGGAGAAAAACAAGAGGCAGGATGAGCTGATCATTCTCAATGTGAGTGGAAGGCGTTTCCAGACCTGGAGGACTACACTTGAGAGATACCCCGACACTCTCCTGGGCAGCACCGAGAAGGAGTTCTTCTTCAATGAAGACACTAAGGAGTACTTCTTTGACCGGGACCCTGAAGTCTTTAGGTGCATCTTAAATTTTTATAGAACTGGCAAGCTGCACTATCCAAGGTATGAGTGCATTTCTGCTTACGACGAAGAGCTTGCCTTTTATGGGATCCTCCCTGAAATCATCGGGGACTGCTGCTATGAAGAGTACAAAGACAGAAAGCGGGAAAACGCAGAGCGGCTGATGGATGACAATGACTCAGAAAACAACCAAGAAGGGTCCATGCCATCGCTGAGCTTCCGGCAGACCATGTGGCGAGCCTTCGAGAACCCCCACACCAGCACCTTAGCCTTAGTCTTTTACTACGTCACCGGTTTCTTTATTGCTGTCTCTGTGATCACTAATGTTGTGGAAACTGTCCCTTGCGGCACGGTGCCTGGAAACAAGGAGCTTTCATGTGGGGAGAGATATGCTGTGGCTTTCTTTTGCTTAGACACAGCTTGTGTGATGATTTTCACAGTTGAGTATCTGTTGAGACTCTTTGCGGCCCCAAGTCGCTACAGATTCATCAGAAGCGTGATGAGCATCATTGATGTGGTGGCCATCATGCCATACTACATTGGCTTGGTGATGACCAACAATGAGGACGTCAGCGGAGCCTTTGTGACACTAAGGGTTTTTAGGGTTTTCAGGATTTTCAAGTTTTCTCGCCACTCCCAAGGCTTAAGAATCTTGGGCTACACTTTGAAGAGCTGTGCCTCTGAGCTTGGCTTTCTCCTCTTTTCCCTCACTATGGCAATCATCATCTTTGCAACTGTGATGTTTTATGCAGAGAAAGGATCCTCAGCTAGCAAATTCACCAGTATTCCTGCTTCCTTTTGGTACACTATTGTAACCATGACAACACTCGGGTGAGTATTACTTTTTCTTCTACTGAGCAGCAGGCAAACATAGCCTAAGAAGCTTCACTCTGGTTACTCTTTGAGGCTAAGCATGTTTCTGGGTGCATGTTCCAAAAGGGACTGGAATTGTTACAGGCTTGATTCTTCTTTGCCTGACAGCTTCTGGAATTTATGCCTAAGCAAAGTTGTATAAAACACAAAATGCACTTACACCTACTTGACAAATGCTTGGCACAAACGTAGTTGAATGCAGGAGGAGCAAGGCTGTGGAGCAGCAGGTCATGTTTTGCACTCCTTCTGAGTGCAATGACTCCAGTGACTCGAGCGCAAAGCAGTTGGCAACCACAACTTGTGTTTTTTCAGACATTCATTCAAGCCATAGATTTTACAAAAAGTCACTGACGTATATTTTTGCCTCTTTTTGCAACATTGGTCATTGTCTGCTTGATTGCTTGCCATGCCAGCAATTATAGGTTTGCTGAATTCAAATGCGGGTTGTGGGCAGCTATACTCCTGAAAATATCCAGTGATTGCCACAGTATGATGTGTTTTTACTTAACTGAGCAGGGTACGGGTTATTGTCTGTGTCTATTTGTGAGTTTATAAAATAATAAGAACATGCTGTAGCAGTTGCAGTAGAATTTCAAACACTCCTATGGACAGGTACAAAGGTAATGCTATAATCAAAGCAAAGGAAATGCAGCCTGGCAGACACTTCCTTTTTTTCTTCTCTTATATTTCACTTCTGTCTTAGAGATGTTTCCACTGAGATTATAGATTTGAATTTCTGTTGCTCTGAACTAAAACCTTTGTAAGAAGAATGACCAAACCCTTACCCTGACAGGATAATATATAAGAAAGTAGGCTTTATAGGTTGCTGCTTCAGGCACTTACAAAGTTACAACCTAATGCAATCCCTGAATTCCATACATTAGAATAATATACTAAGTTTATAGTTACTTTGCAAGAGTCTTCCCACTGGAGAGTTCACGTAGTTTAATATTCAGATTTAGACAATTCTCATTCTTGTAATATGGTGGCCACTTTTTCTCTAAACTGCTTTTGATTTTAAGCACTTCTCTGTGCCTATTATGCATGAACAGGCTCACAGTAGCGCTTTTAAATTATTAAAATCATAATTCAGCTGTCAGAAAGGCACAGAATCTCTGTGTATGAAAATTGTAAGCTCTGAATTTCTTCATTAAGTGAAAATGTAAAATGTTTGCCATAGTAACTAAAAGGTCTTTTTTTCCTCCTGTTTCAGTATCTAAACAAAGCTTGCAAGTTTGACTCACGACTAAGTGGCAAAAGCTAAGTTCCTTGCCCCTGGAAAAGCAGTCAGTGCTCACTTAGAAATCTAAGTTTGGACTTTGGATCCTAGCACTTCCCTGATCTGAGATTCAGCTTTCCATGTTCTGGCTCTCTCCATCATGGTCCGTCCCCACCTTCCAGGCCCCATTATAGCATCTGAGTAACTTCAGCGGGGTGTAATGTCCTGCAGTATCATGCCACGGGTGGCTTGTCTGCACATCCTCTCCCCATGAGGGAAATGCATGAAAGTACAGTTCTATCTCCTGGTTTCTGTTTAATGAGGATCACATCTATCTTCTGTCTTCACACACATGCACATCCATCCATACGTTACTATATGTTTGTGAGAGGGAAGTTAAAGTCGAAGAAACATTTGGTGCTACTTGGGAACAAATCTACTTTGTCAAATGTATGCAGCATGTGCTGTAGCTCAATTAATTCTCTGTTCCCGTCAGTGACTTGGTCTTGTTCTCTTTCTTTTCCTTCCTGAATACATGGATAGACAAAACAGAGTGCTGCTGAGCACTTTAAAGTGTCCTCAATCTGTTGTAATCACAGAAATTACAGATGAATGAGTGCTTTAAATGGGTTGAAAAGAATTTTAAAAATTAGACATTTAAACATGGCTTTATGAGATTTCATTGGAAAGCGACCTATAAAGTGTTATCAAAGCATTAAAGCTTAAACATCTAGTACTACTGATTTGGCACTTTTTGTTAGAGGATTTTAATTAAAATAGGTGTCTTCAGCAAATAGTCTATTAGCTAAGATTGCTGTCAGATCACAGAGTTATAAGAAACTCAGAAACTTAGATAATACCAGTCGCTGAAGATATATATATGCATGCTCTCTGTCATGTAGCTACCTATGATCTCATCCATCGGGTATCCAGCACTTTCTTATCCCAGCAGCAAAACCCAAACACTCTTCACTGGCTTGCCTAAAACCTATACTAGAAAGAGAAGCCATTACTACGAGCTCTACTGGGCTTTTATGCCTTATGAACCCGACGTGGCTTATGAACCCTATTGCGTTTTTAACTCGATTTCCATCAGATGAGCTCTGCAGAGCTCCTGCTGGATCCCTTCAGAAAGGCACTTTTGGGGCTCGCTGGCTGAGCTGCTGTTGGGATGCTGCTGCATCCCAGCTGTGGCGGTGTGCTGGACCCACCGATAGTGCAGAGAGAAACAAGGAGCTGCGGGTGTGCCGGCACCAGCCCTCGGCACATGCAGCAGCTCTGATACAGTGGTTAACATAACTGCACAAAAGTGAAGGAACTGCAGAAATGAAACGTTTGGCCCCAGCTCATTTCCATCTTCCTGTCTCATCCCATGTAGGCACTCAATATCCCCTGGCCCCCCTTCTCCCTACAACATCTTTCAGTTTTGATGAACTGGCATTTTCATGAGAAATTTCATGTACATCTCTCCTCAGAAGTCATTTAAATATGTTTGGAAGGATCTTGTTACTAACGAGAGTACTGGCAATTCCTATCTCACAGATGCTGCCAAAAATGCCACCAAAATCTCTAACATGCTTCTTAGTACATTAGACTTTGCCTTTTTAGGGGTTGCCAGTTAGCTGCTTGCATTTCAGCAGAGCTCAGAGCTTTTATAAATATCTTAAATGTTATCTCCTTATTTGCCTTTAAAAATTTAGCAAGTATTTAGAATAAGAAACTATTAAGTACATTGGTTTTTAACTCAGAAGTATATATGTATGTATATACTTTTTCTTTTGAAGGCTGTAACATTTTAATCCAAATAATTGAGCTCTTTCCTGATACTGGAATTTCATTGTTTGTAATAGGTTGGTTTATAAAAGTGAATTGGAATATGCAGAATAAGTTTTTCCACGCTGTTAAAGCATTTAAAAACTAGCTCAGATAACAGAAAAAGTTTACTAACAACAGATAAACAGATCTAGCCTTAGAAGAGCATTATCAGATGTTCCAGTTGACTAACATTAATAATAAAAAAATCTAAACCAGATATTTGCTGGTGTAAATTAAATTAATTCAACTGAAACCTAGAAGCTGTACCAGCCAGTATCTGCCCTTTAGCCTTGTACGCAGTAATAACACAGGAGGTCCCCAAATGGCTTTTCCTTTTAGCAAATGACAAAGAAGCAAGAACAAAAATGAAAATCCTCCAAAATTTTACACAGAGTTTTGTCTCTTTTGCTCAGAATTTCACTTTCAGGTTTGTTCTCCTGTCGCCCCCAAAGATAAGCATTACTTTGACTGTTCTGGTTCTTTGCAGTTTTGCATCACTTATTTTGGTGAGGGTCTATTTATTTTAATGGAGCCCCACTAGTTTACACTGACTGAAGGTTTTGCCCATGCCCACTGCTGAAATACATTGGAGTGTAGAGCTGTTTGGCGGCCGAGGAAACGCTGCGGCCCTTCCACGCACGGCACAACAGCCGTGAGGCAGAACGGCTCCGAGGCACCCAAACAAACCCCCAGCTTCATACAGGGCATCCGCAGAACCTCTGCAGTGCACGATCCTCTCCTGCCCGTTCCCTACCAGAACAAACTGGCTGCGAGAGTGAATATCTTAGTCAGGCTTCATATTAAATATATAACCAGTGATTTTGATGGAGTGCCTCTTTCTGAAAGGTGCATGACCATGGTCTTTCCATGAACATCAAAAAGTAGGGTTGGATCTTGAAACTTACTGCTGTAAAACTCTCCTACTGCACTCTAAGTCAGTTATTCCAGATTCGTAAAGATACAATTGAATTTCCAGATTGACCCATAAAGAAAAGCAGTAAAAAGGCATTTCCTACTGAAGATGAAGCACTGCGTAAAATAGAGTAAGTGCTACTTTTGGTGGGGTTACTATGCAAATTAGGCACCAGAGTTTTGAGAAAACTAGGATGACTTGCAAGCTCCTTAGGTAGCTAACAACCCAAGGAGAAAGGTGCAACAATTTTCCTGGAATGGGAAACAAAGCAAAGGAATTAAATTATACTGACCCTGCATCTCTGATCCCTCTGCTATGCTCATCAGTCCTAGTTTAACAGAGGCTGTTTTTAATTTAGCACGATTTAAATTTTGCTCAGGAGGTTTTATAATGAAAGCATTATTCTTGGGTGCATCTTAAATCAATCTGAATTACTGAAACAACTATTCAAAATTAATTCAAAATCAGCTATCCAATTCATGCAGAAACATTTTTCTCAAGAGGCCAACAGCTACCCATCCTCTCTCTTGCCCTTCTGTAAATGCCAATAAGACAAATATTAGTTTTGCCACCACCCTTTCTTTTTCCTGCAGGAGGTGCTGACCTCCTTGCCCCCCACTGCAGTAATGTGAGCCCTGCCAAAAGGAGCTGACGAATACGGTGATCGCTCCCATCATTAGCATGCATGTCTCTCTCTTGACTTTTAGTTACCTTGATATGCAATAGCCATCAGTTTTCTATCTATATTGAGAGAGTTTAATTACCACAGATTCTGTTACTTTCTTACCAGAATACCATTTTTATTTACTTTTAAATAACGTTTGATTTTAGATGGGGCAGCCACATGTTTACACGCCTGTCAACATGCATTACAAACAAGGCTGCAGTGCTAGACCTCTCTCATGCAACTAAAACCCACGCCATTTCCACCCAAAGAGCATGTTTTTCTAAGCTTTTTATAGCTGTTTTCATTTCACCTGACAATAGCAGTATGTTTGAGACTCTCAGGCA